TACTCCCCTCCAGATTGAATTCTAATCCTTCTACGGCTCAAATTTTCTTGCTTACTGTATGCTGTTAAGGTGACCGACTTTGATAGCTCGCTGATAACTAACAAGGAAATGGTCTATTTTTATTACGGCAAAGAAGATGGATGGTGTCCTGAGGAATTAGGTATTGCATTCCTTGAAGAATTGTGCTCAAGTTCAAGGTTCAGTGCTATTTGCGGCAATTCATGTTGTCGTAGAAGGTGCCACGTGAAGTCGTATCTCGTTTGTTTACCAGACGAACATTCTGCTCTGCGACTGTGCGCACCCAGAATCGCAAAAGCTTTCTCGTGGAACTTGGGAAGGTCTATGTTGTATTATTCCATTTGTAGTGCAGAGCGTCCACCACGTTCAAAAACACGCTGGGGTTCTCTTATTTCGGGTGTTCATGGCCAAGTCTCAAAGGGCGGTGGGGTAGAGAGACTCGGGAGACTCGAGGGCATGAATTTTGAATTCTCTGTAGACCTCCCAAAGTTTTCATCGCCTGGTTCACAGTTGCTTCTTCAAGCCGACCAGTAAAAATCCTATATAACACACTGAAAAATCATGGAAATGACGCGGGCATGGAGCCGCTATCAAGCAGCTACAAGGGGCTTTTCAAAATTGGGATCAGGGCAGTTTATGCGCCGCGATGCCCCCCCCCCATCCCCCAATGGAATAGACCTCGAACATAATTTTCGAACGCTGAAACTAAGATGTATTACTCTTCAGGTTATTCAATGGAAACCCGTTTGCCTCGTGGTCATGTGCAGTTGGATGAGCACGGATGTGAACATGCTTTCGTTATCCGTGACGGTGCTATTGTGGCCGAAAAACTCTTACAATTCATTAACTGACTCTCTTGTGATAACTCTCTATAAACGGTGATCCTTCTGCTTAAACTAGGATTAAATGACAGGGAAATAATAGTAGCTTTCGCTCACTTTAATATTTCAAAAGTATCGTGTATTACCATGTCTAATAATCTTACGATTATTATAATTTATTCATTTATACTTGAAAAGTGGCAGTCAAAACCTTCTTGTTTCAAAAAATGTTGTGAGATGACTGCAGGTTGTTTGTACACTCCCTAAGTTATTGAAATAAATGTTTTTTCTTCACTCATGTGGTGTACTATATGTGAATGTGGGACAGTTAAGAGGACCAGCCACGGAAAATTCTCGTATTCTTTTCCGACATGAATATGTCAGTTGTGATCACTAGAGACAACGTACAAAGTTTCACGCAAGAAGATTCAGTTTCCGAAGAGAAACAAACCTACGAAAACTACACTCTATGGACGGTCGCGGGGGTCGGGCGGGAGGGGAACGCATGGGAAGAAGTGCATCCTTGTGGAGGTTTATCAGGCGACGCTTGAAAGACTCGGGTTGAAACGCTAAAGCTGATGGGGAGCATAAGCCAACTATCATAGAATACACGATGCATAGAAAACGAAATATGTGTTACAAGGTGGAGAGACCAAAGCCGTCCTCGTTGTGAACGCATACGCTCCCACCAGCGCCTACGATGACGCCGTTGTCGAAGACTTCTATGAACAAATTTCAGAAGCCATCCGCACAAAACCCCGTGGCGCCAGAGTTATCGTCGCCGGCGATTTCAATGGTGTCACCGGGTGCGGCCGTCCCGGCGAGTGCTTCGTCGGTCCGTACGGTCGTGGAGACCGCAACCCTCGGGGGGAGGTCTTAGCCGAGTTCGCCGAGCGGGAGAGGCTATTTGTAACCAACACCTTCTTCCAGAAGCGACAGGGGCGGCGGTGGACCTGGCGCAGTCCCAATGGGATAGGTAAACACACGCTGGACCATATCCTAGCCGGGAGCCTCAGGTACTTCGACGACGTGACGGTCATCAGCGAGTCGCGGTTCAATATCGGGTCCGACCACAGGTTGCTCAGGGCAACGTTCAAAATAAGCGGAAAATTGGAGCGGCGGCTCAGGGCAATAGCCCAGCAGTCTAACATCAAGACGAAGGTCAATTCTGACATCGTCCGACTGCTAGCCCCCACGGTGTGCAAACCCACTAGAATATTCGCCACCGTTGACGACGAGTACGCAAACCTGTTGGCCGAGGTTGACCGCGTCGTTATAAAGGCCACAACACGCGTCACCTCTGAACCGCGACCGCGTCTGACTCCCGAGACATTAGAGCTGCTGAGGACGAGGAAAGCTAAAGTTGCTAGTATGAGCCACATCGAAAAAACCGTCCTTAATAAAGAAATCCGTGCCCGGGTAGAGCATGATTACAAGGAATACGCCGCCGCAGAGCATGCGAAGCAGCCGAAGAATTGACAAGCGTCAAAAGGGCCTATCGGGAGATCAGACTGAAGACCACTTGCCCCGATTCTCTGGCCAGGCCTGACGGTACCGTAACATACAGCCAAGAGGAGATGGCCGAGCTGATTTGCAACTTTTACAGCAACCTCTTTGGCAGTCAGGTAAAGGTGGAGCCTACCGAGAAACGATGTGACGGATCAGACGAAGGTATTCCACCGATCCTACGAGCATGCTAGCTGCTCTTGGCCAGATGAAGAAGGGCAAGGCACCGGGACCAGATCGTGTGAGAGTGGAGAGTCTCTCCATGCTGGCTGAGGAGATAGTGGACCCTCTCCGCGTGTTGTTCGACCGCATATTGCGCGAAGGAGTAATCCCGAGCGCTTGGAGGGGCTCTACTACGCTGCTCATTCACAAGAAAGGACCGCAGCACGATCTTAACAACTTCCGCCCAATATGTCTCCTGTCCCAGGTGTTGAAGGTCTTCTCCCGCCTTGTCCTCAACAGAATACGCCGTTGCATCGACGAATACATGAGTGTAGAACAAGCCGGGTTCCGTTCATGCTTCTCCACTATTGACCATATTCATGTAATATCACAGCTGACGGAACGTTGCCGCGAGTACCGCACCCCACTGTCTCTTCTGTTTATCGATTTCAAAAAGGCCTTCGACACAGTGGAGCATGAGAGTGTATACAACGCCATGCGCGAGTGCGGTATCCCCGAGCCCTATATTAGAATCACGCGGCAGTGCAACACGGACTGTTATACCGATATCAAACTCATAAAAACACCGGTCCGTGTTCAAATCCGGCGCGGCGTCAGACAAGGCGAGGTTACGTCCCCGAACTTGTCAAGCTAT